ATATACAGTATATATATATATATATATATACAGTGTATATATATATATATATATATATATATAGTGTGTATATATATATATATATATATATATATATACACACACACATATTTTATCATACATCATTTAAAAAACATGTTAAAAAGAAACATTTACAATTATATTATATACATTTTTAAAATGTAATGTAATTTTACATCTAATATTTATAATAAGAATTACATATTTACTATAAATCTGTATGTTAATGTTAATTAAAATGTTGTTATAGACGTACATTTCAGAAACAAACATTTACAATTATATGCATTGAAAATGTAATATATTTTATATTCATAATAAGCTTTTTAGTATTTAACAAATTTATTATAATTGCATGTTAACAAAAACAATCAAATGTAACATTAATAATGTTACTAATGTTGTTTAATACATGTAATAATTTATGGAAAATTATGGGGAAACATGTTTGTAAAACAGCCATTATGTTTCAGTTCTGCGACTGTTTCAGAGATGACATACTGTAGCTGTATGCGTATTTTATGCTAATATACAGTCAATGTTGAAGAATAGTTCATAATACTGGTACCTATCGGCTGAGTGGCCCCGGCGGGTAAGTTGGCTCTCTTGCGTGGGGTCAGGGCAGCAGGCTGGATGGGCAGGATGCCCCCTAGTCCCTGAGACTGGGATTGTGCAGCTTTGGGCCGCTGGCGTGGGGTGATGGAGGTTTCAGTGGTGGGAATGGGGTCTGTAAGTCTATGGGACAAAACATGGAGACACAATTTCAGGTCAAATTTAATGACCACATTAATATGGAGTAATCTGGAGTCTCTATTCACGTACCTCGCCTTGGTCTGAGTTTGGCTCTTCTTCGCAGCTGCTTCGCTCGCTCGGATTGGCTCAGGAAGTTTAGCAGGAATGGGAGAATTCTGGGGTGACACATTTCCGATTAGTCTTGTTTTTATGATTTCAGGCATTCTTGCAGGCTGACACACACACAAGCACCCAATCCAAAAACTGATCCCAGAGGTAAAAGCACTGACCCAACAACAGGCCGAGAGTGATCGCAGGAGAGGAAGCAAAAAGACTAACCTTGATGTTTTGGACAGGGCAGTCCCGTCTGCCAAGTTTGAAAGCAAAGTAGGACACCTGATAAATGTCAGGCCTCTTATCAGGGTCCGGTTCCAGCATGTACCCTGACAAAATCACCACCACAGAGGGAAGGAAAGAGAAGAGAGAGCAGGAGAAAGAGAGATTGAGCATCACCACTTGACAGACAGAAACAGGGCAGAGCGAATGATCGTTATCAAGTTGTTCAAAACCAATTTCTACTTCCATGAAACACAAAAGGAGATGATTTTTAAGTTCTCCTTTATATCCTTGACTTTTTTTCATATAATTAAAGTAAATAAATGAGGACTGGGGCTGCCAAGCTTTGTGTCAGGAAATTAAAATTTTAAGGAAATTAAAATTCTGCCATAATTTATTCACCATTCCAAACCTGTATGCATTTCTTCTACTGAACACAAAAGAATGTTGGCCAATTGACTTCCATTGTATTTTTTTTTCTGCACAATGCAAGTCAATAGGAACCTTTTTGTTACCAACATTCTTCAAAATGTATTTTGTGTTCCAAAGAAGAAAGTAAGTCATTCAGGTTTAGAATGACATAAGGTTGAGTAAATGATGACAGATTGATGACAGCGACCACTTTTATGGAACGCAGCAGCATGACTGGAGCCCAAGACAGCCCACGGCACCTCAGTTTATCTCTCTGCACTACTGGTTGCAGCTAGGGGCTGTGCAAAAAATCTAATGCGATTTTCATGCGCATCTTGTAAGTAAAGCCGCTTCTGTGATTAGTAGTAAATCTCCAGCACGTGCGTTCAGATGGAGCGGCATTTACTACACAGAGCCGTAGTTCACTGACAAGCTACACGACATTGCGTTCATAATCGGCAATGAATCGCCTGCGATTTTGAACGCGATTTTGCGTAGCTTGTCAGTTTTTTGCACAGCCCTAGTTGCAGCTAACATCAAGTTCAAGACATTGACGCTTGCATAGTCTACATCCCTCCTCCAGAAGTCTGTGGTCAGTAAGCAACGCCTCATGGTACTATCACACAGTAACAAAATCTGATAGGAAAAAAAATCCTCTATGCTTTTCCTTAATCCTCCCTGTTGTAGCTTGTACTATTCTACATAATGTCTTAAACTTTGTATTATGAGCACTTCTCACAAACAGCACACAAAACATATCAACTTTAACAGTGATTGTTTTGTCATTTTGGACAGTACATGTAATCTAATTCCATAATCAGTCCCCTCTGCTTTCATCAATGACTAGGATTTTCTCATTCCCCTTTGGGTTCAGCAGAAGAAAGAAATGACATGAGGGTGCATAAATGATGACAAAATTTCATTTTTGGCTGAACTACCGCTTTCAAGTGAGACCCACAGCCATACTGTGCCAGTGGTGAGACAGCAACAGAAACCTGGTGCGGGACGTGAGCAGAAAGGTACTGATACTTACGGATGAGACGGTGCATGTCCGGGGAGTAGCGGGAATTGTCTGGAATGGTGAAGTTCCCATCACAGATGGCCACCTGACTCTCGCCAAAGGGCAATGTGAAGAAACAGAGTTTATAGAGCAGACAGCCCATTGCCTGAAAGAAAGAAAAGCCCAAGTCACTATACAGTATACAGCCATAATACAATATAACAGCCTTAAATAAAGTTAATTAAACATTATTATTACTACTGTTCTTTAATTTAGGCATGGAAGACTGATTCAAAAAGTGGAAGAAAAAGCCAATGACTTTAAATATCTTCTGACTGGCTTTCATATCTTTGAGATGTTTAATTACCCAGATGTCTGCTTTAGTGGTGATGATTTTGCCATTGTACAGATTCACCATTTCAGGAGCGCGATAGGACAGAGTTGTGTACCTAAACAAAACAGACATTTCTTTTTTTTAATAAAACATTGTATTATAACTAGTGTTATTTTTAAAGAATACATGATATATCTGTGACCATATTTGAATCGTTCAATATAGTCTTTTTTTAATTATTGGCATCATTTTAATAGCACTGTACGGAAAGCAGAAAATACAATATATTCTATGTCAATTTTCTAATAAACTACACATTGAATTATTTACAATTATTCATTTAGATATCACTTATCAAATTCTAATTATTACAAGCAATTTTAACAATTTCACTTAAAATTCTATGTTGAAGGATAAACAGTACAGTCTCATTATCCATCATAACGTATATTGGCCATTATATAAATTAAAAAAACATACGTTAAACAAGAGTGCCAGAAGTAACAGATATAATTGAAGTAAAATGCTGTTATACACAGTGGCGATCTGTAAGAACATTTTCCAGGGAGGCTGATGTGTACCATCACATCCCGTGTTTTGTTGAAACACACAAATACACTACCGTCCAAAAGTTTTGGCTCTGTACAATTTTTTAATGTATTTTAAAAGAAATCTCTTATGCTCACCTTACTGACCCTAAACATTTGAACGATACTGTATATGATCTCTCTCTAATATGCCCAGTCTTCATTAACACCATGCTATAATCCTTCAAATCACTCACCCAACACTTGTCAAAATGAAAGTTAATGGATCAAAAATCATGCAGTGCTTTTTACAGACCATCATTTTGTAACACAATGTATATCCATTCTGAAAGTGAAAGTGAAGTGTAGCCAAGTTTGTTGTCCCATACTCAGAATTTGTGCTCTGCATTTAACCCATCCAAGTGCACAAACTTTGCTATGGCACAGTTGGGGGTTCAGTGCTTTGCTCAAGGGTCTCGAACCCGCAACCTTTGGATTACAAGTCCGTCTCTCGAACCATTAGGCCATGACTGCCCCATTGATCAATAGCCTAAATTATCAATAGCCTTCCCTAGCATTCGTGAAGAGATTTCACTCAAATCAGGTACCGCACATGAGAGAACATGTCAAACAGAATACATATTTATAATTTATATGCATTAAAGTTATGCACATTAGTAAGAAATTGATTAAAACCTCTTCTGACAGACCACCACTGGTTACAAAACAAATTCAAATTCACAGAAACCGACTGATTGGAAAGAATTACTTTTTAATTTCGTCCTCCACCACAGTCACTCCTTCATTCTGGGGGTTCTGGAACTTCATGGTTGCGCTACCAAAATCACACAGAACATAGTGTCCTCTGTCATGAAGGAGGATGTTTTCCACCTGCAAAGAGAGACAGACATCACAGGTGATGTTTTTAAAAAACACAAATTACACTCCAGTACAACACTGCATCTTCAGCTAATGAAATAAATCATTTGAGAAAAAGCCCAAGGAGTCGGTCTCAGTATACTGATCAAGTGTTCGCTCTGAAGTGGTTTTTACCATAACAATCAGTCACAAATGGCTGTTAACTATGATTAATTCCATCAAGGGTTCAAACTGAAAGTTTCAAACAATTTCCTCTTCTTAGAAAATAATGCTTCTCATATTAAAAGTAGAAAAGGAGGGGGAAGAGCAGAAAAAAAAAAACTAAGCAGAAAATAAAGGAACCTTGAGGTCTCGGTGGATTATGGGAGTTTTGTACTGGTGCAGACGTGCCACAGCCTCACAAGTGTCACAGAAGATCTGGAGCGCTTCCTGTTCGCTGAAGCCTGTTTGCAAACGCTGGTTCATCAGGTTCACCACCTGACCACCTGCGCATAAACAAATGTAGGGATGGCAAACGTTACAATACTTCAGTTCCAAATCAATACTAATACCAAATTCTGAAGAAATCTTTAGGCAGAAGCAAAGCAAAGCAAAACCATTGTTTTTTCATGCACTGGTAAATTTGGACATTTTGGTTCCATAACATGTCTTCTTTTAGCGGGATGAAAACAGCCAAAATACACATTTAAGTGTTTGTTTTATTACACTTTGTCTTTTTGAATCTGTAGATTTCAATTACAGTTATTTCAAAATGCACCGAGTCCGAAATCTCCACTTCAGCAGCACTTAGACCAAACTTTACAGATTTATTCCTACCATATATAATTAATTCACCTGCTTTATATAATATTTTATTGCTAAGATGATTTTATTTTTTTTCTGGCTGTTGACAGCATTTTATGAAAGAGAGATCTAAAATCCCCCTTTAACTCTAATGTCAACAAAATGAATTTCAGTTCTGGAAATGCATTTAAATTTGTGCACCTTGTGCACATCAATATCACGTGACACAGTTGCTCTTTCTGAAAGCGCATTCAATACATCCAAATGGTAGGCCTCTAGTGAACACTCAAAAGAAAGAAACAAGCTCTTTTGGAAGAAGAATCAATCATCTATTTGAGGCTTTACAATAACATCTAGCACAAAATGAACCAATATAGACATACAGAAAGCTTTTCACATGAAGAGACAAAAACCTTTTTGAATGTGCATAAACCACAATGAGATTTAGCCTTTTGTGTTAGTGCTGTCAGGAAATGTTATAGTAATTTGATGAATGAAAAGCTTTCTCAAGGCTACAATGGAGGCCTGAAATCTATATAAAGAACGCCCCCAGGTGGATGAATTGTATAAATACAGCACAGGTTCTGCATAAATGGAGATTAAGGATGCCATAGTGAAGACATTTTCCTAAGAATTAATACACTTGAGACAACATCAATATTACCGATTACACCGCACATTTTACAAGATGAGATATTTGTCAGTTATATAGTAGGCCTATATAAGAAAATTGGAGAAAGAACAGCTTATTAGTTGTTCATTTTTCATTGGACAGACATAAATACTGAAGTTGTGTAGCTTTAGTCCCATCATTTTCAACACTGTTTGCCATCTAGGTGGTACTTGATGAGAAGTTTACTCTGTTAAGTGTATGTTTGGTTTCCCACATAAAGCACAAGACGGCTGTGTGCAGAGGCATCGTGGGGCTGAAAAGCAGACTTACCTCTGCAGAAGTCCATGAGGATAAACACCTCCCACACTTCTCCACCTCCTACAGCCGTGATGCTGGAGTCCAGGAACCCAACGATGTTCTTATGACCATTGAGATCCCGCTGGAACACAGTCCACAAAGAATAGAAAGAGTAGTAATGAGCAGATATCACAAAAATACTGAATTTTGAATATTCTACTGTACAGTTTTTTTTTTTTTAATGTTTCTTATAGTCTCTTGTGCTCACCAAGGCTGCATTTATATGATAAAAAATAAATATTGTATAATAATATTACAATTTAAAGTATTTTCTATTTTTTTGTTTTAAATATTTAAAAATATAAGTGATGGCAAAGTTGAATTTCCAGCATCAGTACTCCAGTCCTCAGTGTGATCCTTAAGAAATCATTCTAATATGCTGATTTGGTGCTCAAGAAACATTTCTTCTTATCAACAACATTGAAAACAGTTGTGCTCAGGGTTGCCAGGTTTTCACAAGAAAACCCGCCCAATTGCTACTCAAAACAATCGAGGGGGTCCCCAGTTAAAAATCCCATTTCGGGGGATAAAATACACGTTTTTGGTGGGGTTCCCCAGCTAAAATTCGCATTCCTGGGGATGAAGATTATATTTTTGGAGTCCATTCAACCCGCGGCAACAGTGTTAAAGTAGCCCAATTTAGTAGCCCAGACTTGGCAACACTGGTTGTACTGCTTAATATGGAAGCCGATACATTTTTTCATGATTTTTTTGATTAACTAAATGTCCTTACTGTCACTTTAGATCAATTTACTGAATACAAGCATTAATTTCTTTGAAAAATGAATTGTACTGACCTCTTAAGTATTTGAAGTGATGTAAATCATGACTGTACAATGTAAAATGTCTTGAATGTCAATTCTCTCATCATTGCTAAAGCATAGAAGACACTTCAGCACACTCACCATGATCTGGATCTCACAGTTGCAGACCTGCAGGTCATGTTCATTGTTAACGTACATCCTCTTTAGGGCACAGCGCACTCCCTGATTGGTCCGCACCAGGAAGACAATAGCGAAGCCACCTACAAAAGCAAACACACAAAGTTTAGGTGGTTTGCTGAAAGCTCAATGAGTGCAAGAGTAAGATATTTACACCACAACACTGCCTCCACGTGGAAATCAGTAGGAAATTTAATTCAGTTTACCAAAGAATGGAAGTTTTTTTTTTTATTATTTATTTTACTTATTACATAAAAATATTTTATTATATAAATAAAGAAAACAGTACCCATCGTTATTATTCTTAATTATTTAACTTCTTGTATTACTAGTTGTATTCAACCACTGGTTGCCCTGTCCGCAAGTTCATAAAACAGATCAATCACATTTCTGCATGCAAGCATTAAATTGTTTTGTTGATCCAGAAGTTTTAGTGGAAGCACTCAGAAAAAGCATAAGCAGGTGCGGGCAAATGTGAACAGAATACAGACGCTTGGTCTAAGCAGCTTGTACTCTTGGTGTTATAGTCCATGCTTATATGTACAACCAGACATCAGAGGCTGTATATGTTTGCACTCAGATTTGCTGTGTTGGCATAATATGGTGTTATTCCTCAAAGCAGACACATGGGAAGCTGGTGGAGGAAAGTAGGACACATATTTCATCAAGGATCTTGCGCTACAGGAACAGTCGATTTACAGTCAAACAATCAGTGACTGCATCTCTCTGCAAAGCAGCTGTTATTGGTTTTCTATTGTAGAGCTGAGAAAAGATGCTGAGAGGTGTTTGAACAGGACAGACGAGTCTGAGATGCACCAGGCCTGAAAGTCTATTAGCTTTGTTTCTAGTTCCATCTGTGAACTGGAAATCAAATTAAACCGAGTAAACAACTGTGTTTCCTTCACATCACTGATAACACATGCAATTCATGATGATGCGATGAATGCTTGCCCTCATGTAGTTAACCAATCTAAATCAGCTTTCTTCTGTCCACCACAAAACAGGTTTTAGGCAGGATGCCGCTTTGACAGCACCCGGAAAACATTTACTTTCATAGTGTGGTATAAAAGTAGCGTCAATATTATGCTTAATCTCCTTTTGAGGAAGAAAGCAAATCATGTTTAAAGCAACACGAGGGAGAGAAAATAATTACAGAATGTTTATTTTTGGGTGAACTGTGCCGTTAAATTTCTCATTCAAAAATGGATCTTTGAATCAACATCAATATATCAGGTTAATTTTTTTATACACTATCAGTCAAAAGTTTGGGGTTGGAAAGATTTTTTTTTTTTTTTAATGTTTTTAAAAGAAGTCTCTTATGCTCACCAAGGCTGCATCTATTTAATCAAAAAAAAATGTGTATTGTAATTTTTTTTTTTTTCAGGATTTATTATTTGATAAATAGAAAGTTCAAAAGAACAGCACCTATTTAATGGAATGCTTTTGTAACAAAGTAAAAGTCTTTACTATCACTTTTGATCAATTTAATGCATCCTTGCTGAATAAAACAATCTTTTATATAAAAAAAAATTTGTAGTGAACCCAAACTTTTTGAACAGTACTGTAGCCTATATCTTTTTAGTTTTTTTACACAATGTGCCAAATTAATTTTTAAAGCACAAAAACTCCATACAGTCTCTCAATTAATATAAAAACTGCATGCTAATATTAATTAATATAATATTAATTCTAAAAAAAAAAAACAATAAAATGTTTTTTAAAATAGTTTTCGATGGTGTATAAGATTTCACAGCACAGGACATGTCAACACCCAAGTACAGATGAGCAGGGATTTCCAGACAGAGGATTTAGGCAACTAAATAAAGCTGCCAGAGGAGTTGAGAAGAGTGCTGAGATCTAACCACAGTTCACCATCAGGCCATGCTACATGTTTGCTGGATTAAATTATCTGTAACTAACTGCTGTACAACACTGAACATCAAGATGGTTGAAAAGAAAACATTAAGTAGTGATTTGTCAACCAGGCACATTGATCATTCAGTATTTGGTCATTTTGAAATGATCAACATTGGCCAATCTGCTTCTGCAATTTTTTGTGAATTTTGAGAAAATATTGCACATATACATATATATAACTTCTCCATGCATTCACAATATTGGATAAGGATTTTTAAAAACCATTTTTGAGACTGAATTAAATACTGTAAAGCTGAGCATAATTATAAACTAATTAATTACACAAATTTCCAATATATTTCCAGGTTGCCCATGATGACCATGTGAACACTAGCACTCTGTAAAGTCTGTAAAATAAATCAACATCTATAAATATCAATAGTCAAACTTGGATCTTGTTTGGAGCACAATCAAATGAAATTCACCCAGTCTGAAAGGATTTCATCCTTGAAAGAGTTTTAGATGTCGATCGTGGTTTGATTAACTGAATGTTTAAAAATCTTTGGACTATTAACTGAACTGATTAGGTCCAAGGCCTGCATGGAAAAGATTAAACATCAGCCTGAAGTACCTTCTGCCAGAGTTTCTTCTACAGTGACCTGGTGTCTTCCTACAGTGAAAGCCCGTCCGATGAAATTCCCACCAACACTGCTGCTGGATCCAGAACCTCCAGCTCCCCCTCCAGAACCGGGTCCAGAGCCCACCAGCTCCCTCCGGGAGTCAAAGAACTTCTTCATGATGTATTAACGATCCCCTAACTACTTATTTGTGTCTATAAGAAACTGAAGTGGCTTGGTTGTTCTGGTGCCAGAGGTCTAGATCAGCTGTGACTGTCAAACATGGACTCGCAGCCCAATTCTGGTGCTGATCACAGCTTAAATGAACCGCATAGCAACAAAAACGTACTAGTAAATAAAAACAAACAGTATATGTGCTAGATTAATACATCACAGTTGAGTATATCCAAATAAACAGCGTCAATCAGTGATGGCCTGATATGATTAAAGTGTTTGTCTAGTGTCTATATAAGGGACACGGGCCCAAATCACGATATAAATATTTAAATCCAGCTCAAATTAATGTAAACATTCAAACCCTGTTGAAAAATGAACCTTCAAACGTAAAGCGAAGAGAAAATAGTGTTTTGATGGATGAAAGTCAAACTCTCCATCATCAGCCAGCTGTGCAGCTCATTAACATCTGAAAAACCAACCACTTTTCACGGAAAAACAGATGACATGCAGATATTGATCAGAATAATGGATAATTTCATGAATTAAACGCCCATAATCATATTATTTCGTCTCTTGTTTGATGAAAAAATTATAATTTAAATTCCACACAGTCAGCTAGGCGCTAACGCTAGCATTCCTGCAAAACCTGCTCAGACGCGTGACACATCTCATCTGCGCGCTACGTCGGAGGCCTGCCGGTGAACGGTGAACGGATGCGGTTCGGTTTTAATCGGACAGAATCAAATTCAGGCAGAAATGAGCGTGTTGCTCATAGCGATTCTCGTCTGCCGCTTCGGATGCTGCAGATGCGCCAGCTAGCTAACCGGAAAACACACCGGAAGAGTGAAGCCTTCTTCTTCTTCTTCTTCTTGTTAGTTTTATGGCGGATTGCAACCATGACTTATCAGGTGCATACCGCCACCTACTGTACCTACTGTATCGTTTTCGCTGCTGCTCCATACACAAAGCATCCGTAATCTATTGTTGACCTCATTAGAGCCCTATAAATATACATCAGTGATTGTTTATCTGCTCCCCAGTCTTTCCCAACTAATGCTCTCATTAAGTTTATAACTTTCTTACATTTTGATTCCACCTTTTCCGTATGTACTTTCCATGTACCCTTTTGATCTAACCACATACCCAAATATTTAAAACAGTCTACTGTTTCCATATTGTTACCATATAACTTTAAGTTCTGTTTGTCTATCCCTTTCTTCCTGGTAAATAACATATGACTAGATTTACTTGGAGAAAGCTTAAAGCCCCAGTTATATGACCATTGTTCTACTTTTCCTATTGCTTCCTTGATTTTACTTATCACACCTATGGGATCTCGTCCTCTTACCCAAATGGCCCCATCATCTGCATACAAAGCTGAACCAACTCTTCTATCCAAATTCATAAAAATATCATTAATCATTACATTAAATAACACTGGACTTATAACGCTTCCTTGTGGAATTCCATTAACAATTTCAAATTCCTCAGACACTTCTGATCCCACTTTAACTCTAAATCTTCAACGCAAAGTTCAGTCATCCAGTCCACGCTCCCAAAAGGAGACGCTGACTCCCGGCGAAGAGTGAAGCCAGCGCTATAGAAACTATAATAAAAGTCTGAAATTCTTGATAATTAAAGTCGTTTTTTCCCCTTTCAGCAGATGATCAGTGGAGGAGGCAGTGAAAATTTTGACCTTAGGAGGTCAAATTAAATATTATATGAGCAGAGTATTTAATATGAGCAGAATGTGTGTGTGTGTGTGTGTATAGCCTATCTATCTATCTACACACACACACACACACACACACACACACAGTCTGACAAAAGCTATTGGCTACTGTCAAACAAAAATTTATCCTGATTGCAAGGTTTAGGAAAGATATTGACTTCAGTTGTGTAAGGAAAGAAACGAGAGCATTGTTCAATTATTTTATATTTAATAATTATTATTTTGGTGTTTTATTTGACTTTTTTGTTAAACTTTTTTTAACAAACATTAAAATGCTACTCAGATTTATTTTTCTTTTACAATATAATATTGAATTTAAAAGATGGTATATAAGAAATGTACTTGTATATGGAAAATAATTTTCCCGCAAATGTAAATGGGCATCACAAAACTTTTACTCATTTTAAAATAGAAATAGGTCACTACTTCCATACTTCAAAAGCAAAACAGACATTACTGCAGATCCTTAAATCTATTGTTTGATTGATTGATTGATTGATTAACAATAGTGCACAACATGATTGTGTTCGTTGTTCAAACTGTTGCAATAAAAAATAGTTTACAGAGACAATAAAGCACCAATAAAAGACGAAGCAACTGTGAAAGAGGTTTATGTAAAACAGTGGTACTTTAAATTTTGTCAACTTTGCACCAAGAGGGGGTGCTATAACTTCATATGCAAATGACGATTAAAGACGAGACGCAGTCACTTGTCATCAGCTTCATGTACATAATTACAAAATGACTTTTTTTGCTGGAAGATGTCAGATAGCTGGCAGCTTTCAACTTGTGTTTATCCACGATAGAAAATTTGCATCCTCTAATCTCATGCAATTAATTTGACTTCAAACATTCGGGACAATAGAGTTTAGAACAAAAAGCAATTAAAGAAACTGTTGAAACTGACTATAAGCACAGCTGAGACTTGTGGCAGACTTCAAAAGCTTCAGTAAGCACATGAATGATCATGTGGGTGAAAATCAGCATGTCAACAAGCGAGTCCTAGTTTCAGCACACTGTTCCACGGGTTATGAACTGTTCAGTCTCTCATCTCAACGTAATGTAAAGAGGAGGGGCCGTAAATGAGGAACTGTAAGACGATTCTGTCCATACAGGCCAACACCCACTAAAGTTGGCAACAAAACTCAGAAACATTCTCCTAAATCTCCACGTCCATTCAGAGTAACGGGTGCCGTGCATCTCTGAATCCAGCGGCAGCGCTTCAGCAGGTAAGACGCTAAAAGTAAAAACTCCCATCCGCTTTCCTCAATAAACTTTAACTTCGTTTTCATGTTATTCGCGTCTCTTTCCGCTCTATAACGAATGTTTATAAAATCAGCTTACTCATGTAACAGGCGAATAGAAATCACGCCATGGAAAATAGAACTTAATCGTGTTTCGAAACGTGTTTGTAAAATAGTTTTCTGCTAACGTTTTGCGACAGCACTGTACGCCCATATTCCGTCACGTGACTATATACCGCTGAACATGATCCTTTGAAATGTGGCTTTCATTAAAATACAATGAGTCATATTGCTTTGCATGGCAAATTAATTAGACCACACACTTTACAAATGCAAGACAATGACCTAGATCTAGTATAGTCAGCAAGGAAGGATATAACCACAAGAGGAAAAAAAAAACACAAATTAAATCTCTTTATTATATCTCCATTGTTTCGCCTAGATCAGGAGTTTACAAACTTTTTGATGCTATAAGGACCCCCCAAATATGATGACTTCCTTGTGAAGGACCCCTTTGTTAAAATATAAAAGCAGCTGTAAATTTTCACGTATGACAATCTGTTTAGGCCTGTACTGTGTGTGGAAAATATTAAATGTAATATAAAGATAACTAAATCAAATAATTGTTTCCTAAATTAAATAATTGGCTTTTGCATTGTCATGATTTTATAAATGAATTGTTAAAATATCTAAAAAATATTTACTTTTTATTAAGTTGACCGCAAAAAATAAATAAATAAATAGATATGCAAACGTTTCTGACGAACAAAAAATTGTGAATATCTTGACTTTTGACCAGTCTTTAGAAAACAGAAATACATAACATTTAGTAAATGTTGACATGAAAAATGTTAAACATATTTCACTAATATAACAAACATGAGAGATTTGAATATAGATTCAATTTTCATGTAATTCTTACCATTCTAGGCTATTATCTGCATTTTTATTCGCTTTATACCATATGTCAAAAGTCTTGTTTCTGTTTTAATTTCTTCAGAGGAATCTTATTAAGTCGATGACTAAATAAATCATAGCTAAAACTGAGAACCCTCCTGAGCAATAACATTTTCCTTTGGGTCCTAATTTGCGGGTTCCACTGGTAGGCAGATGCTGAGCTCTCTCTAATAAGCGCTAAATCTTTCATATGAAACACTGCAATACGTTTTGAATGTCAATGAATTCATCTGTGATGCTGAGGCTCAAAATCAAATGAGGTTAACAGTGTTAAAGTCGCACAGCATGTGTCAAATATAATGTCAGCAGGCTCTTTGAACGTACAGCACATTGTATGCAAAGAATAAATTATTAAAAGGTCTTAAATGATGCACTGTAGTCATGGGGCCGCTGTCAGTGTTAGACAACAATGAAGTGAAGAGAGACCGCTTTGAGAGCCAGATGTCTCTGTGTTTTAAATGAGGTCTTCTGGGGGTTAGAAAACGTTGTGAGTTTATTGTTTGAAAGGGGCAACTGATACTGAGCATTAGGCTGTTAATTACCAGTTGAGCCTCTTCTGCTTAATGAGCTGAATAGTAAAGTGGAAACCATTTTGCTAGTGGCATCCAAAGGCCTTATTTATTTAACAGTGTAATTAACCCTGTTATAAGATCTGAGTCCTAAATTTCACTTAAATAAATCCCTAAGAACCTGGGATGCGTTTCTTAAAAGCATTGTAAGCCTGAGTACATCAAAGAAACCATTGGCACCAATATAAATACAATTTACGATTAAAATGTTTTTAGAAAATGCATCCCTGGTCTGTTTCATTATTATAAATGTGTCAAAATAAAACTTTTTTTGCTTGTTTGTGGATTTCAAAGACATATATTATAAAATAAAAATGTATTATAACACACCACTTTTGCATTTCATCATGAGTTCCTTATATCTACTGCATCCATATTTTTCATAAGCTTGTTTTTTTGTTTTATTTCTTGCCTTTAGTGTTCTCATCTCTTCATCTCAAGACTAAAACCTTTCCTCCATCACAATGGCAGCGGTAAGAAAAGTATTTCGAATGTGAATACTGTCATCTTTTTCATGTCTGAAACATTGATGCGTTTAGTCTCACTTCTAGATGATTCAAAGGCAGTTCGTTTTAAATGAATTGTATCAATATCACACATTTGTAATCAAATAAAAGCTTTTTCTTGTTCCTTCTCATTTTCCTTTGCCAGTCAAAAGTCTGGATCTTGTAAACCTTTTGATATAAACGCTTCTGCATATAAGTGCTTGAAATTAATTTTGTTGAAAAAAAGAATGTATGTGAATTTTGGAAGGGTGGCAACTTTTAAATAAGTTTAAATATGTGACCCTGGAGCACAAAACCAGTCTTAAGTCGCTGGGGGTATATTTGTAGCAATAGCCAAAAATACATTGTATGGGTCAAAATTATAGATTTTTCTTTTATGCCAAAAATCATTAGGATATTAAGTAAAGATCATGCTCCATGAAAATATGATGTAAATTTTCTATTGTAAATATATTAAAACTTAATTTTTGATTAGTAATATGCATTGCTAAGAACTTAATTTGGACAACTTTAAAGGCGATTTTCTCAATATTTGGATTTTTTTTGCACCCTCAGATTCCAGATTTTCAAATAGTTGTATCTCGGCCAAATATTGTCCAATCCCAACAAACCACACATCAATGGAAAGCAATATTCAGCTCAAAATCAATATTTATTCAGCTTTCAGATAATGCATAAATCTCAATTTCGAAAAACTGACCCTTATGACTGGTTTTGTGGTCTATGGTCATATATAAGATTGTTATAATGGAAAATGGTTGTGTGAGAAATATTCACAATAGAGAATGAGTACACCACTGTTTAAAAGTCAGTAAGATTTAAAAAAAATAAATTAGTACT